GCAGGAATGGTTTTCCTATGGAAAACTGTTCTGTGTTCTTTTTGCCAGGACTGTTTTTAATAAGAGCGCATTGCTCTATCTGTCACAGGAATAAGCCTCGCTTGTAAAGTCTCGTCTCCTGTTGAATCATATAATAAAGAAGGAGCTACTATACATTAAATCTTACATTTTTGCTATCATTATTTTTAGTTTTGGAATGCTAAAATTACAATTCTTATTCCTGGAAGTAATTATTATTTTAATATTTTCAGAGGGAAGTCATTTGTATAAGCCTAGATCCAAACATCTATCGCCCGCTACAGCTGCCTGACAGGAGGCTGTAGCCAGGTGGGGGTCGGCCTCTTCTCCCAGGTAACAGGCGATAGGACGAGGGGAAATGGCCTCAAGTTGCAGCAGGGTAGGTTTAGGTTGGACATTAGGAAACATTTCCTCACTGCAAGGGTTGTCAGGCACTGGAACGGGCTGCCCAGGGAAGGGGTCGAGTCCCCATCCCTGGAGGTATTTAAAAGCCGGGCAGACGAGGTGCTTAGGGACCTGGTTTAGTGGTGGGATGGCAGGGTTAGGTTAACGGTTGGACTTGATGATCTTAAAGGTCTTTTCCAACCTAAACGATTCTATGATTTTATTCTATGATTAACAGAATACAAATGATGCCGTACTCAAAATGCTACTGCAAAATTATAATTATGTTAATTACAGCCAACACATTTCATAGAATCATAGAATCATAGAATGTTTTGGGTTGGAAGGGATCCCTAGAGGTCATCTAGCCCAACCCCCCGCAGGAGCAGGGACACTGCTAACCAGATCAGGTTTCTCAGAGCCCCGTCCAACCTGGCCTTGAATGTTTCCAGGGATGGGGCCTCCACCACCTCTCTGGGCAACCTGTTCCAGTGTTTTACCACCCTCATTGTAAAGAATTTCTTCCTTACATCTATCCTTATATCTACTCCAAAGCTAGTTTGTAAATTCAGACATCATTTGTTCAGTCTTAACAGTAGTAATGCAATAAATAACATAGTAAATAAAGCAAGTGTTTAATATTTGGTTTTACTGGTGAGAAAAAAGGAAGTTTCTTAGATTGCAAGATTATTAAGGAGATTTTTGCAACTGAAGATTGAAATAATTTCTCTCTTTAACATAAGATTTAAAAGAACATCTCCAAAAAAGACACAAGGGGACAGATTAACCTAAACAAGCATAGAAATAAATTTAGTAATCAAACATGGAAATGTCTACTGCTAATAGCAGATTTGTTACATAGCAAAAAGCAAAGTAAGTACAGGCTCAGATGAACGGAAGTCTAGTGAAGCCCAGGAGATACATGCGAGTGAAGAATTTAATCTTCTCACGTGTCGTGATTAATCACCCACCTGCGGACTCTGGAAGAGGACCGTTATAAAGGGAACAGCAGAAACGATACCAAATGACCAGAGCTGTGCCACTACACAGCTGTGCTCCTAAACAAAATACCGCATTCCCCTACTCCCCCTTGCAACTGTGATTCAGCAGCGTGCGGTTTGCGACACAACAGAGGAATATTCTTTGTTGCGACTGGTTCCCATTAGCGATACCCTCTGCTTAGCTGCCAAAAAGGCTAAAGGTCAGTAATCAACTAAGCGTGGATGAAAATACAAGGCCATGTTTAGGTTGTGTAACTTCCACTAAAGAAGTTAAGCAATACCCATTTGGTAAGCGGGGAGCTGGTGCTGCCAGAGGTGGGGGGGAAGGGCCCGGGAAGGTGCGGAGCGGTGGGCCGCCGGGGGCAGGCGATGGGGAAAGGCAGCGGGAGGAGGGCTGGGGAACAGGGGCTGTCTCCGTGCCGCCCCAGCGCCCGTCAAAGTCTGTCGAGACTTGACCCCCACCCAAATCAACAAATCAAAATGGTGTCTCCTTGTCACCTAAACAGATTACCGCCGTTCTCAAGAGCGGCCTGCAGGATGCAGCTTCAATCTAGTCTCACTGTATGTTACTACACACGCGTCTTAAAACCTGGATATTTTCTTGATTAAAAAAAAATATATACGACCTGCCTGTATACGTGAATCTGCTACCTGACAAATGGGACTACCTGGCTTAAAGTACGCCTGCACTCCTTTTGGCTGGGGTCAGCGCCTTGGAAATATTCTGATGAGCTTTATGTGAGGTAGAATATAGCTTGGTGGCCTGGTTTCGGCTGGGACAGAGTTAATGTTCTTCCTAGTAGCTGGTACGGTGCTGTGTTTGGGATTTAGCACTAGAAGAATGTTGATAGCACACTGGTGTTTAGGTTGTTGCTGGGTAGTGCCTTAGACTGGCCAAGGGCTTCTCGGCTCTCAGCAATGCCAGGGGCACAGAAGCTGGGAGGGGGCACAGCCAGGACAGCTGACCCCAACTGGCCAAAGGGCTATTCCATACCATGTGACATCATGCTCAGTATAGAAACTGGGGGAAGAAGGAGGAAGGGGGGGACATTTGGAGTGATGGCGTCTGTCTTCCCAAGTCACTGTTACGGGTGATGGAGCCCTGCTTTCCTGGGGATGGCTGAACCCCTGCCTGCTGGGGGGAAGCAGGGAATGAATTCCTTGGTTTGCTTTGCTTGCGTGTGCGGCTTTTGCTTTCCCTATTAAACTGTCTTTATCTCAACCCACGAGTTTTCTCAGTTTTACCCTTCTGATTCTCTCCCCCACTGTGGGGGGAGTGGGCGAGAGGCTGCGTGGTGCCGAGTTGCCAGGGGGGTTAAACCACGACACTTGGCGAGGGGCAGCAGGAAGGAAGGTTAAACATCAAGGTTTTTCTAAAACCGTTCTTTTAATTTTAGGCTCTTACCACCAATACCCCTGTACTTTACATTGTATTTCAAGTTTGGACCCGAGTCTACACATGTGCCCACATGCACCTGACTTTCACTTTGTATGGAGGCCAATCCGGATTTAGAAATATAAAAGTAATAGAATAGTAACACAAAATAGGAATAGTCTCTGGGAAACGGTGCAAGAGAAACCCATAGGCTTTTACAGCCTTAGTGCATGCCCAAACATACCGCTCCCTGCGGTTTGCACTGAGTAAACATATTTTTCCAGACTGCTCCAGGTAACCCCTTTGTCCCAGCCACTACGTCAAGAGATCACTCTTAGAATCGTCCCCATGTCACCTGTCAAAGGGCATGTAGCATTTATGTATAGCTTGAAAATTTGGGATGGCTGCAAGATGTCATGAATAAGTGCCCACCTAAGGGTTAGGTACCAATGAGCAGTAACAGCCTGAGTCAGGTCACTGGGGTAACCACGGCCTCCGCAATGGTGGGGCAGTTGCTGAAACGGGTCAAAAACATCATCAGAGGAGAAAGGGCACCTGCAGCACCCGAGCCGCAGCCCAGAACGCAGACCGACAGTGCTCTGCAGGGCTACAAACAGCCTGCCGCTTGGAGAGGAGATGGGATGGTGGTGACGCCAGAGCATCTTCTGAGATTAGGTCATGGTTCCACTTCCAGGCTAATTACTGACGAAGACTCCTAAAGATAAGCAAGAGCTGAATGCAGAAGTAAATCTGCTCTTCTCCCCAAAGACTAAGTTAATGCCTTTTTTTTTTTCCCTTGAGCCCGTGCACATCTCGCAATGCGCTCAGACTCCAGGACTGGAAACCAAACAGCCATGTCCTGAACAAGCACCCACCCCAGCAGCCCAGGACAAAGAAGGGACATTCCTCTCCAAGGGAAAGGCGTGCCGTGTTCTCCGTTCCCCACGCAAAACCAGGAACCAGTAGTTCAAAAGGGAAAACTGATCATTCACAAAACGTGAAAGGACAAAGAAGTCAATGAAATACAGCACCTGACTCCACAAGCTTTCAAACTCGAGAAGTTTCATCAGAAACAGGTCAGAAAAGGAAGTTTTATGTAACTGCAATTTTAAAATTCTCCCTTGTGTCTCTGCCATGCAAAAATAAGGGGTTTGTACATCATAGAACGTTTGGACTTTCTTCTTCTCAGTGGTAAGAATGACACAATTTAAATCCAACAGCCAAAAGGCCACTCACACAACAATGTATTTTTGTTTTAACCTTATTCAAGGAACTGCAGCAATTCTGAAAGCGTGCAGATGTACAAATGGTATAAAATAACGGGAAATGATGCAGTACTCTCTTTATTTTACCCGTATTTAGAGGATACCTAGCTTCAAAATACAAAAGCAGCCTCTGCAGACAACGCCCACTGCTGCCAGGTTTCACGCACTGTGCACCGCAGTTGTTGGGACTGCCACGAAGCAAATCATTAATCTTTGGCCAGCAGAGCTGGTCAGCAGTTTGAACAGAGTATGCAGAAACTTGTGCAAGAGCAAAACTGTCCCGGCAGCTCATTACGAAGTTAAAATACAGAACGCGAGTGCCCGCTGAGGCTCCCAAGTGTCCCCGAGGCCGCCTGGGCAAGCAGAGCAGGCAGCTCCGAAACACTGGCTCTTCCAAGAGAGAGATTTCTCTTCGCTCATACTGGACCTGTCACACGAAGCAGCTACCAAAAGCATGTGGTAGCAGCAAGAGTGTGCTTTTCTTTCCCCTCCTCCTTGTCTAATTCTCCCCCAACTCTGCACCCTCCAAAAATGATTCTAAAAAAAAAAAAAAAAAAAAAATTTACACTCCCTAGGCCTTCATTAAAGAAATCACTCGAGTTTCACTGTTTTTCATGTGCAGATGTCTGTAAGAGTGCATTCAGGATGTAGGAGTGTAGTCAGGAAAAATTATTATTACAATATTTTATATTACGAAGAATATATATATAAACTTTCAACAGAAGGTTGTAGTCAAATGAAGCATTGCTGCCAAAACACCTGAAACAACTCTGGTAACACAGACTCTTCCAAAGAAACTGAAAAAGGGAAAGCAACAGCATAACTAATGCCCCCCCCCGCCCCCGATTTCCAGTTGTAATCATCTCGGGTATAGCAGATAAATACGATTTGTGCCTATGATTTTAAATATCCTCACTAAATTTCACATAATAGCAGATTAAAAAAAAAATAAATCCAGTTATTCTAAGTATTACACAGCAGTGACAACAGCACACAGCGACCCAATGCGACACCGTTACCAGCTGCAGCTGTTCAGTCACCCACAACCTCCCACACCAAAGCAGACATTTTTAAGACACAGCAGAGAAGCAGGTATTTTGACATCCGGGCGATACTGAGCTTAAAGCAAATTGTATTAGGGTGAAAAACCTGGTTGGGGGGGGAAAAAGAATAAAAGAAAAAAATAAGCAAACAAAAAAACCCACCCCAGGACAAAGTCCTGAACGATCGAAGTCTGAACTGAAACACCGTCTCGGGTTTTTCACATGGAACTGAGTTATTGCCCGTGTCAACTTTTCCCACGACGACACAGCCTTTTGTAGTAGTGCCCCAACTCAACCCAGGACAGTCAATAGTTGTGCTAAGTCATGTCACATAAACTAACTTGCCAGAGCCCAGGCCAGCTAGTCACTATACGAGATTGTTCCTAATTTTACTTGTTTGACTGAAGTGAACTCAATGCTAAGATAAAAACGCTGCATCTCCTATCGGACAGGAAAATTCTTCGCTGGGATTTACTGCAGTGGCCTACCACCGCCTGCCCCAGCGCTGAACAGGCTAACGACAGTTGTATCGCTCTCCATTATATTCAAAACCGCAATATATACAAAAGTATTTTAAAATAACATTCAATCCAGCCTATTATGAAGGCTAAAAAAACCCCCCTTGTTAGTTACTCCCAAGTTCAGTGGCTCACATCATACGGGCAATTTTTAACGTGCCAAGAAAACTGCTCCCACCTAAGGTGCGTGAATGCTCAACACCCCCCCAAAGAGGCAAAGTTCACCCTTGGCTAGAGCACGCACAGGATCCTCCGGCTGCGGATGGAAAAGGCACTGCGGATCTTCTGCAGTGGAAATCAGCCACACTTTCTCATGCTTGAAACTTCAAGTTTGCGCCGTTCACAGCCCAGCCTCCCACGCATCTTGGCTGGTCAGTCTTTTTCTTCTAAGGGGAAAGAAGCACGCTAGGCCTCTGGGCCTAAACAGGAATCTCTTAGGCTCTAGCACGGTATTTGCAGGCACGTCCGTTTGACAAGAAGACACAGGAAAACACGTACCCAAAACATTCTTTATTAATGATTTCAGAAGTCATCTTCTGAGTCATTATCCTCAATTTTTTCCAGCGGCCGCTTAACACCAACTATTAAATCTATGGAGAGAAGCTCCGTCACGCAATGAAGAACCGAAACGACTAACTGGTATTTGCAATACACCGACTCTAAGCCTTTCTCGTCCACAGGCAGCGGTTGATTTTTTCTGAGTGCATTTATGGCTTTGAGGTAGAATTTGGTGAAGCCATTTCGTTCTTTTGTCCTGTACAAGGACTTGGGAATGCTCAGCAAAGCATCAGCAACTACGTTAGATACGACGGTTACCTCCGACTGCTGCAACTGCTGCGCATAGTACTGAATATAGTAATGCAACAGGATTTCAAAGTAACCTCCTACCGGCAAAACCGATCCTGCTTCTATGAGGGAGCTGGAATAATTCTGGGCGATACTTACACAGCTCTTCTCATGTTTCAATGGAACTATACCACAACTTGCCTTCTCTAGATCTTTGCCAGCATCTAGGCATTCACGCGCAGCGACGGCATCAGCGTTATGCGCTGCTGATGCAGCAGCGCTGCAATTCTTTTGATTGTCCACAACTAAATCACTTTTACAGCCCTCGCGCACGTCACCCGGATGCTCGCCTTCTGCATGCAGCTCCTGTACGTCTCCTGAAGAGCCACCTCCTTCAGCGACCACACTGAATTCTTTGATGCACGAGATGGGGTTTGAGGGTATCTGCAAGCTTGTTTGCGCACCTGCTGGATTTTCACTTCCCTGCAAGTCAGGGTCTACAGCCTGCGTCTCTGTTTCATCCCTGTGTGTTTTCAGTTGCTGTTCGGAAACCTGATTACCGCTACAAGAAATATTTTCGAGTTGCTTCTGAGTAGCTGGAGGACGCCAGCTGCAAACATCAGCGGCTTCATTCTGGCTTTCACCTTCCACTTCGCATTCCTCCCTCCGATCAACTCCTTTGAACAGCTGCTGCAGCATTGTAAATGCCCCTTGCAAAGCAGCAGCATGTTGCTTATTAACGCCATCAACTGGCCCACAAAGAATTAGGCAGTGGGGCTGAAAGGCCGAGACGCTGGTGAAGCCAACGTGAACGCATCTCTTCGAGCCGAGCAGCAAGGGCTGGCAAAACGTTGCCACTGCGGTTTCAGTGATTTCTCCGTGTAGGTTGTCACCGAAAGGTGCATAAGGCGAGACCCCTGTGATTTCACTGATCAGGGCCATTTCTTCCGGCGACAAGCACTCTACCACAGACACGCCGTACAGCTTTGCGTAGTAGATAACTACTTCCTCCTGCTTCACGCTCGACAGCAAGAGCTTAACGCTGTTGCTCTGCAAGTGCTTCATTACAGCCTCCGTCCTCCCTGAGACCCAGCGCAGGGAGGCCCGATACTGATCCTCG